TTGTTCTTTCTGTGGCCACAGAATTTCTACAATTCCTGCTTTGGTACCATTAGGAGTTATATACATGCCTCAAATATTAATGAAGATTAAAAACTTTCCTTCTTCCTCTGGCAGCTGCACTAACAGAGCTTAGTTTTACGAATAATGTAAGATGAAGTAAATAAAATATTAAAAGAGCTTCTTCCATAACAGTGATAAAAGCTGTAGGTAGAGTTCAGATTAAGATGCATCAAGACATGTAAAACATTTGAACAAGGATTGGCATTAATATATAAATGTATTCTTTACACCCAATGTTAGATACTCAGCCAATTAAGCAGCAGAGACACAGCCAATATATGTACTTGATTTTAAAATTTTTATACTATTTATCTGATTTACTGAGGCTTTCCACAGTTATGGAATTGAATACAAGCAGTTTCGTACATCTGCAGTCACCATACAGCCTAAACAGCTTGTTTTTCACATCATTTTATTACACTGCTCCAAGCAAGCAGTGGTTTAAAAATTATTTCTAAAAGCAAAGAATTTCAGATGACATCTTCATGTATTCTATTGGAAAATAATTTTAACCATGAAATCTGACAACAAGGATTCACTTTGCCCCCTATATTAAGTAATAACAGAAACCTACCAACCAGCATCAAAATGCACTTGTGCTCTGTTTCAACTCTCCAGGTTAATTAACGGGAACTACTATTTTTAAAAAGAGCAGGACTTAAATCTCTACTGTCAAAAATCAGTTTTGATCTTATGATGCAGTTATTTTAGATGGAAGAACAAGGAAACAAGTTGAGATCAAAGAACATTAGGTCTTGAAAAGAGGGAGATGGCCCAGTCGAGCCTTCTTGCACTGAGATGAAATCAGTAACACTTGAATTATTCCTGGCAGTACTTTGTCCAATTTACTGTTTACATCAAGAATTCTGGTTCAAACCCCTTGCTCAAGCAAGGCCACCTATAGCCTGTTGCCCAGGACCATGTCCAGATGACTTTTTGTAATTCAGAATTATCTTCTCCATTACTTCACCTGTATTTTACCTTCACACATTTTTTTTTTTCAACTTTGATGTAAATAATATATCAATTCTTCCTAAATCAGCACAATGACATCCTAAATCTGATTTCTATGACACTTACGTGAAAAATTATGGAATTGAGTTCTTCACTGCTACAGCAAAAGTAAATTCGATATATTCAGGCTAGCTGGTTGAAAGCCCAAAGATCATCAGTGTAATGGTGTGGATTTGTATTTGTATTTTTCAGGCTTTGCTACTGACAGATTTATGTCCATCCCCCACTGTAGGAAGACTATGATCACATTACTTTGATAGTGCAGTAATATTATGGCTCAATTTCACTTTAATTTATACTATTGCTTAAGAAATGGCTACTAAAGCAATTTTCAATATGGAAACTGAACTAGTACAATGTACATTACACAATAATGGACAGAAAATTACCACTGGGGGAAAAATAAGTATGTCAAATGATACAATTTTAATTTATTACATTTTCAAAACTCCAGCAGAATATTTTTTTTAGTTTGTATGAACATAACATCCCCAGTCAAGTAACATACCACACTGGCCAGAAAAAAAAAAAGAGTTTTGGACTTTGAATAAAAATGTATTTTAACTCTTAAACAAGATTTGCATCCCTCTTTCTTTGCATCACTTTGTTCAGCTACCATCAGCTGTGGGCAAAAAGTCACTGCAAACAGAATAAAATTTAAAATATCATTAAAATACAACACTTAACAATAAGTAGGATATTTAAAACTATTTATTGGCTAACACACACAAAATATACCTACAATTTCACAAGGTGACTAAGAACCAGTATTATCAACACCCAGGCAAGACACGGAGAGCCTTTTCCCCTTAACTTCTATCATTCAAATTCAAAAGGGCCATCCTTCACTGCTATCTGGAAATGTTCCTTAATGGCACTGATTTGACATCTCTTCCTGACTCCGTTTCTGCTCTCAGGTTTGTATACCTTTTCATGCTGGTGTTTTCCAACTTGAGTTTTTTGCTGATTCCCATCACAACAATATCACAGAATCATAGCATGGTTTTAGTTGGAAGGTACTTTAAAGATCATCCAGTTCCAACCCCTCTGCCATGGACAGAGACACCTTCCACTAGACCAGGTTGCTCAAAGCCCATCCAACACACATGACTTGTTTTATCTTCCTTGTCTTGCATTATTCTACTCTGCAGTCATTTTCTCATCTCTCTCAACTTAGCAGTCTCCTCAAAAATCTAAGCTGTGGTTATACATGCCACATCAGGGATGAGGATACTTGATCATGGCTGAATGGAGAGGGGAAGAGGGGAGAGTGAGTTCTGGCAAGCTGCTTTTTCGTCATGTAGAACGCACCTCTGTATCCACTCTTCTGTTTCATAAATAGGATGGGACTAAATTTTGGACCTGCTGCTGAGGGGTGCAGCTCCAAGTGTCTAACACACAGAGGAAATGCTGTACCTAGAAAACATGAAACAGCCACCCTGCAAAACCCTATCTGCTCAGACGTACGAAGGCAGGTACCAATGCAGCTCTGCAAGTCCAGCACTCCATTCTTCAAGCAGAACTCAAGGTATCTAAGTGATGTAAGGAAACATACTGATAAAAATGCAGACTCTGAACACATTCTATACCCACAGACTAACATTCTGCTATCATAACAAATCACAAATAGTAATTTCAGGCTAAAATGTATAAACAACAAAGAATTGGACAGAGCAGACAAAGCATATTAAAAGCTTCTGAGAACGCACCCCAAATTGGCTCTTCATGTAGAATGCTAATTAAAATTACTGTAAACTATGAAAGGGCTCATTGTTCATATAATGAAATATTTTGAAATTTATTACATGACAAACATTAAAGTGTATTTACATGACATGTTCGTTTGAGGAAAGCATAGAGAAAGCACATCCTTCTATTGAAATGTGTCATAATATTTGGTCATGTCAGCACCAAGATTCATCATCAGCTGCCTGACTAACATATGCTTAATTTCAAGGAAAGTCTTGACGTTTTTTTGTGTGGCATTTAATTCTTGCCTTATTATCAACAGTGTGATTATCTTAATGCTTACCTAGCCTCACATTTTAGTATTCTTTCCCCAAGAAACATTCTAACTTCCCAACACTTGAACAAAAATGGAATTTACGTACCTAACTCCCTTTATTTAAAAAAGAATATGCACTCATTATGCTAACACTTCCATTTAAATCACGGTGATATGAAAAAACCTTGCTTGACAAAAAACAACGGAATTAAAATTAATTTGCAGTTACCGGTAGAATTTAACAGGGACATAAATAAAATTCCAGAAAGAAGTGACAAAGGCAACTAGAATGCTACAAAAAACAAACATGCTTTTGTTCCTTTTCTGCAGGGTGTTTTTATAACTGCTCTTTCACTTGAGATAGAAAATTGAAATACTTTGGATGTTTTCTATTCATATTGCAAATGAAATGTTACTGACTCACATCATCAAAAAAAAATTCAATACCTTTTCTCACAACTGAGTTAGAGACTGAGTTTAAATACTCATTTTGCTGTTATAGCAAAATAAAAATAGGAGATATTTCACAATTCTACCAACAGGGTAATAGCCACCTATTTCTTAAATACTATCCTTTACAAATATGCCATAAGGAGAGTAACTATGTAAGACTGCCTTAAATTGTTATGCAGGTTAGTCCCTTGTTTCTGATGTGTTTTTGCAGCTCAGGAACGACCATGTGTCAACCTAGGTATTTTTATGAGCTTCTACTCAATGTGCATGTGCCAATGTGCATGAACCTTCATGAAGGCCAAGTGCAAGGTCCTGCACCTGGGTCAGGGCAACCGCAAGCACAACTACAGGCTGGGAGGACACTGGATTGAGAGCAGCCCTGAGGAGAAGGACTTGGGAGTGCTTGCTGAGAAGAAGCTCAACATGACCCTGCCCATGGAAGGGGGGTTGGAACTTGATGATCTTAAGGTCCTTTCCAACCCTAACTATTCTATGATTCTATGACCCCAGAACGTATGCTTGTAGCCAGTACCCTGGGCTGCATCAAAAGGATCGTGACTAGGTCAAGGGAGGTGATTCTCCCTCTCTACTTCACTCTTTTGAGACCTCACCTGAAGTGCTGTGATCAGCTCTGGGACCCCCAATACAAGAGGGACATGGACTTGCCTGAGCAAGTCCAGAGGAGGGCCATGAATATGATCAGATGGCTGGAGCACCTCTCCCACAAAGACAGGCTGAGAGTTGGGCTTGTTCAGCCTGGAAAAAAGAAGACTCCAGGGAGACCTTACAGCAGCCTTCCAGTATCTAAAAGGTAGGTATTCCATTCAGTAATTTCACGCATATGTAATTCAGCCACTGGATAGAATCTGGCTATGTACTTGTTTTTAAGATTTCAGTGAAAATTACAAGCAGGTCAGGTTCACAGAGCACACATACTAGATCTGGAATATTGATTACTATATCATATCAGTCCTAAACTTGTTTTCATAATTTTGAAATGGAAGTATCATCACCTTGATTTGGTTCTATTTTACAGATGAACAGAGACTTCAGATTTCCATGTATTTCATGCATTAGTAATACGGGAACAGTAAGTTACTCCTATAACCAAACAACATAACTAGTAGAAAAGGGATAGACGTGGTATTTTGAAATATGGAAAACTAGACTTTCAGGCAAATGCTATTAAGTCTGAGGAAGCAACCAGCTGTTGAGAAATTGAGAAATCCAATCTGTCAGGTATGGTATTTGTAAAAAAAAAAAAAAGGCTGAAATTTTGTATCAATGAGACCCCTTAGTCACAAGACACCTGTCATGGGTTGACTGTGGCTGGATAGCAGATGCCACTCTATCACTCACCTCCTCAGCTGGACAGGGGAGAGGAAATAAACAAAAGGCTCATGGGTTGAGATAAGGACAGGGAGAGATCACTCACCTGTTGCTGCCATGGGCAAAACAGACTCAGCTCGGGGAAATAAGTTTAATTTTTCACCAATCAAATCAGGGTAGGATAATGTGAACTAAAAACAAATCTTAAAAACACCTTTTTCCCATCCCTCTGTTCTTCCTGGGCTCAACTTCACTCCTGAATTTTCTCTTCCTCCTCCCTACCATCATCAACAGTTGGTTGTGGTCAGTCCATCACACATTTCTGCTACTCTTTCCTCTTCAGGGGAGGACTCCTCACACTCTTCCCCTGCTCCAGCGTGGGGTCCCAGTGTGAGAGATAGTCCTCCAAGAACTTCTCTAACATAAGCCCTTTCCACAAGCTGCAGTTCCCCTGCAGCAGCAGGTCTGTCTTGGAGTTGGTTGCATGAGCTCCGTTGGACACAGGGAATGCATTACAATTTTATAGCATTTCATAATATTATGACACCACCAGTAGTTTTTACATATATATGTATCATACATATATACATATGTAACATACATATCACACATGTTACTTTTTCTTGCTGTTGGGTGAAAAAAGCTGAGTGGAGTAGTATGACAAAAACTGAGTTCCTTGAAGATGTCTCAGGCTCAAAAAGATAGAGCTGAACACAGTGTAGAGGACTGAATATGTCAGATTTCCTTTTCTGATGAATAGTACACACATACAGAAAAAGCCTTAAAAAAAAAAAAAAAGAACAACTATTAGTTATAAACTGTGTTTGGAAGTGGCACACTACTTCTCAAAGCTATATGACATACACAATCAAAAGTTAGATCAAGACCCAAATCCTCAGGTTTTCTTCTAGGCCCGTGTTAATGCATGCTAACTACACTCTAAAACAATTTAGTTTTTCCATTTGGATTTTCTTGCCCAGAGCAGACAGTCATTTTCCCCTTCTGGTGTCACTCCTGTAACAAAACAGGAGGCAAAACATATGAACTTGCAATTTCTGTTATTTACTGAAACAGAGAAGAGCCCCATGTCATCCTCATGATGCTGGGACCTAAAGAAAGAAAACAATGCTTCTTTTTTTTTTTTTTCATAATACAAATGTAATTTTCCAATACTTCCACTAACATTCCTTATCCTGAGAACCCCAGGTGCTATGCAACATTGCAAGAGCTACACGATGTACCACTGCCTTGAAGTAACAGTCCTTTTCACTTACATTGGCAAACAAGATTTTTTTTTTTGTGATGCAGTAGGTAATAAATCAAGCCAAATGATATTTTTCCTAGGTTTTGCTGATCATGCTTAGAGCTGAAAATGTCAGCCTTCAGATTTCACATTATATGAGATGAATTCTATGCCTTCTCCTAATGTAGTCCTCATCATTTTCTCCAAAAAGAACAGAACCAATCAAGCCATGAAATCATATTGCCTCCTACAGTAGTTCCATCTGAAGGGGCTTACAGAAGACAGAAAATAACCAAACCCACAAACCAAAGATACAACAATAAAACTTCTATCATACAAGCATACATCCTAATGCAGTCATTTCCATGTTCCCTATGTACTTTAAAAAACCCCACGCAACTAATTCACTCCTTATATAAGGAGTCCAGTGTTCTACTCACATTAAGAGCAGCAAAGATCATTACTGGCTTTCAAGCAGAAGAGACCACTGTTCTCAATTTAGAAAAACAAATGACAGTAACCATATTATTACTGTACACACCAGTTCCCAGCCTTTCAAGTCCTCTTTATTGATCTAAACTTCATTTCAAACAAACATTTTCTCAGTTTGGCATTTTGCCAGGTCATCTGCAGGAATCCAGTCCTGAAAACATGAGTCTTAAAAATCTTTTAAGACTTGGAAATCTAAGCAAAGATCTATGAAGGGAAAAAAAAAAACAAACACAAGTATCTCCAAGTCAAAGCAATGCTTATCCTCTATTTGACTTTACTGTGTTTAGGTTAATGACTTGTAACATCATCCACACAGGAGACCTATTTTAATTGCACTGCACTGCAGAATATATTAAACTGCTGTATTATACCTGCAAGTCATACTATAATAGTATTAACTTAAAGTTTTCTAACTCTGAATAAGAACATGAAAGTCAATAATGATTATGCAATTTTTCTCACAAGAAGCACTGTCTCTTTCAATATTCTTATATTTGTATGAGGATGCTGAAGTCTGGATGGGTGGAAAATTAAACAGACTGAAAAGAAAAATGGCTGGTACTCTGACTAGGGGCCAGTAACAAATGAAGTACTGCAGGCATTTATCCCATCCTGTTCAACTTCTTAATCAGTGACCTGGAGGTGACAGAGTACATCATCATTATCAACTTTTGCAGATGACTAAATTGTGGGGGTCAGTTGATACACTCACAGACAGGGGATCTAAAAATTCTGTCTCCAGTTTTGAGCTCCCAGAAAAACAAAAGAGCTTGATAAAGTGAAGTATGTTCAGCAGAGGGCCAGCAAACTGGTCAGGGGCTGGTGTACTAGCCCTGTAAGGAGAAGATAAGGGAATGAACTTGCTCAGCCTGGAGAAGAGAGCACCCCAAGTGGGCCACTATGCACAATGCACTATGCACAAGCTTACCAAGAAGACTCAGCCAGGCTCTTCACACTACTACATTGCAAGTAGACAAAAGACAACAGGCATAAGCTGAAGAAGGTTCAGACTTGATGTAACGAGAAACTTTTTTGCAGCGAGGACAGGCAAGTAGTGGAAGAGGCTGCCAAAAGAGGTTTTACAGTCTACCTTCAGAAGTCTGTAAGACCTAACTGAATAAAGCCCAGCAGAACCTGGCCTGACATCATAGCTGGCCCTGCTTTCATTAGGAGGTTGGACTTCCTGGGTCCCTTCCAGCCCTATGAACAAGGATGTGATCCCATGATCCATTTTCCAGATTAGTGAAGATTTAGAGAGATAAATACATTCCCTAACAAAATGTCCAACTCTTTTAGGTTTCTTATACATCAGCAGGCTTACGCTCAGAGCATGAAGCGTTCTAAGCAATTTCCACTAACTATAGAAAAAAGGTTGGTCAAAGAAGTGGCTGCTCCCCCAGATTCTTTGGCCTTGACTTCACCCCCAGTACAAGTCAAAGCTGTCTGCAGAACTGCTCTTTACTTTCAACAGCTGGACAGGCTTTGAAATAGTGGCAAGTCTCAAGGCATCATTCTCTAGACATAAAAGGCAGATCCATCCTTTTAAGCTAGTATCTCAAAAGAAGAAAGATAAAGAAGTCAGTCCAAAAATTTGCATCTGTAGGGAATTCATTCAGAGAAGTCACAGCACCAAGAATGCTGATAAAATTTTCATGCAAATTTACTCTGAGTCTGAATAATACAAAGAAAGCATTCCCCTCTAACCTCTTCTTCCCTCAGCTGGGTTAGTTTTTAACCCATCATTAACCATGTAACCAAAAATACATATAAAACAGCTTTTAAAGTTCAGCAGAGTTTATTGTATCTTGTCATGCTATGGTGCCATTAAAAGCTTCACATGCAGAAAAAAAGCTATGAAACCAAATTCTGGGAAAAAATGAATGAACTTTGACCCAAAAAAAGGTAAAATTAAAATGAAAGTTGCATTATTAACATAACCTCTCACTGAAGAATGCCAGAAAGAACTCCACTTATCCAAGGACACAATCACACAAATTACAGATGTGAACAGAAAATGACCCAAGGTAGTACAAAGTCTTCCTTCCTGCTGCCAAAACAATTATCCTGTATCATGTATTACCCAGTGTTTTATCCTAGCTAGTTAAAAGTAGTTTATTTGCTTTCCTGGTGTATTTCCTCTCATGAAAGTTAGGATTCTAAATTCAGGAATCATGGCTCAAGAGCATCACAAAGTTTCAGAAGGTCACAATCACTCTGCTATGTCAAGGGAAAAAAAGTTTGATATCAGAAAGACAAGAACGATATGCTGGCATACAACTGTGCTTGTAGAAACTCACAGCATTTTCACAGTAAGTGATTTGTTAATTCTGGTAACACTGTATTGGTCCCAAAACAATTTTAATTTTCAAGTAGACAAGATGATGTTAGAGGGTGTCTATAATGGAGGGTGGGCCAAAGAGAGCAACCCTGCTTTCAGACGTACAAACTGAATATCATGTTCCATAATTCTACAAAGTAAAAATTACAATTTTTATAAAGTTCAGCACACCGGAATATAGAGCACATGCTTACAAGCCATTTAGTGCAGCATTTCTACTGGACAGTGTTATAATTAAGCGAAAAATATCTTATGGGCCTCACCTCTCCTCTACAATGCTCTATTTTTGACTATTTGTCAGAAAAAGACCAAATGTCATATGTCAACAAGATATAACAAATACCAGTATCATCCCATAGATCTTTCCAATCAAAAATCACTCACACAAATAGCTCTGGATAGTTTATCTTTGGCTATTTCTCTTCCTGCATTTAGCAGGAGCCTGGACTGAACTAAGCTGTGTCCAATATACTGGGAGAAATTTAACTCCCAGTTTTGGTTATGCAAAACACAACAATCAACCACAGTTGTGAGGTTTGGTGCCAGAAGTAAGGACCAAATTTACCAATTTTCTCCTGAGAATTATATACGCAACGACAGTGAAAAATCTCTAGAAACTCTGCCCATTTCCATCTATTAGAATTTAAATGCACCTGACTCATGTTAAGCTGTTTCTGTACTACAAATGCTTTCCTTTCTAAAACACTGAATTTCCACATTTGTACTGGAACCTAATATAAGGCTGCAACTTACAACTCCCTGAGGGAATCATGTCAATTGGCATTTTAAAAATTAATTCAGTGACCTACAATAATACGAGTTGCTTATGCACAGTATTTGTCAGGAGGCAACATGGGAAGTTCAGAATTCATTTAGAGAGCCCAAGCTTTATAAAGGCAAGCAAAAATATTCTTGAACTGCCTCCTCTAACTTGGTAAGTATCTTACAGCAGATGTCTGTAATATAAGAACAAGGAAAAACTGAATATACGAAAGGGATCTGCATGCAGCATGATTAATATTTAAAACAGGAAATATAAAAGGAATAAAAATTCCAGGCAGTATATGCTCATCCAACTACATTATTGACCTGGTGAGATATTCAGAGCTTGTGGAAATTTTGCAAATCTTGTGGAAACTATAGCATGGTAAGTCTCATATGTGCTTGCACAGCTCATTTCAAGTCACTACAGAGAAAATTTGAACCGTAATCAGGTCTTTGGGGACAGAAGGCCCCATCTACAAAGGCTCAATATCTAATTATATCAGCACTCCCTCTTCCTCGTCTTAGATTTCAATGAAATGTCAGAGCAGCAGCACTTTACTGAATGGCTTCTGTAAATGAACCAAGCACAGAGTTGCCTGTTGTTTCTTGGGATTTGCTGTAGTAAGTACAAGTTATCTTAGAAACAGCTTTTTTAAAGTGATTCCCACTGTTTCATGAAGAAGCAGGTTAGACTGTGCATGTCATTTTGGTTTACCAATAATAGAGAGGTAAAATGGGATGGAGTTATCAAAATTAGGGTTTAGGTATAAATGTATATGAAAGCAGAGCATGTTCTAAGCAAGCATGAGAACTCATACAATTATAATACATTCAAATCTTGGAATATTCTATATACTCAACACTTACAATAAAATCAAAACTTTCTAGTTGCATGAAGACAGTAGCAAAGTAGTCACTACTGAAACCTTAAGGAAAAAGGTTTCAACATTTTTCAAAATCCTGCTTGTAAAGCTACTCTTATTTAAATGACACAGGCAAGAACCAATTTTTTTTGTTATGAAAACAACAGCTTACATCTGGTCTATGTAAGATGAAGTACCTTTGGAAGCAGCCTCCAAGAAGTTATCATTATTCCATGAAAAGATAATACAGTACATATTGTCAACTTTCCTATTTTATCATAGGGCCTGAGGTAGCAAACAGTTCAAAAAGTGAAGAACAGTTTGTAGGCAATTGCCTTCTATCCTTCCTGGATAGTCCTCATCTCCAAACAGTACTAAAAATATTTGAAATGTGGACAGGAATTATTTTCAGCTCCTACACAACATTTATTAACTGTCCATACTTATCACTGGACAACACTTTTTTCCTCAAGGACATAAGTACAAAGCTTCCCCACTCAATTACTGTTCTCCACTTTTTCCCAGACTATATGCATATTTTCAAATCAAGGAGTCTTTGCCATCCTACACCATTATCTCTCCACAACACCAATATTCGTTTGGTCAAGTATACAACATCTGACTGGTAGTCTGAAAATTAGATTCACAGTTAACATTAAAATATTTGAATACATTAGTTCAAATACAGCAAACCAGCCACTATAACAAGGAAATTAAAGAAAAAATCTAACACTATAGTAAGACACACACACACACAAAAAAAAAAAAAAAAGCCAAAAAGGATTTATTTCCTGCCAAAGATGAGCTACGTTTTGGGTTGTTTTTTGTTTTTTTTTCTGTATAGAATGGCCAGGTTCTGGCCATACAGACAGTTTCATTCACGGAGTGTTGCATTCTATCAGCCATACCTACAGACCTACAGCTTCACCACAATTACTTTCTCTAGAATCACATCAACATAGGCATCTTCAGAAATATGTACCAATCCTTCTTCAGCAAATAGCTGGGAAAATTGGGATCACCCTATACCACAGACTCTCAAACAGGGGGCTTGAACTTCAGTAATACTTGCTCTTTTAATCCTTACATACGTCATGGTGCTACATAACACCAAACTGGAACTCACACAAGACTATGTGACCTTCATTACTAGAGATACTCAAAATATATGGTTAAGTCTCTACACAACCTGATATACTATTGGCTCTGCTTTAAGCAGGTGTTTGGATCACAAAGCTCCAAAGTTTAAAGTCCAGAACTCTATAGTTAGGTACTGAATTACTTTATGATTATCAGAAAAGGAAGGAAGTCAGACTCCTAAAATAAGAAGGAAAAATTGTAGTGTGGGAACTAAAGGCCACTAACAACACAAAATTAGTGAAACTAGTGTTATGTTGATGAATCACAGGAAGAAGATCAGGTAAGTATCTGACATCTTTATGGGAAAAGCTGGAATCTGCCTGAAGGTAAAAAAAATATACCAAATTTCACTGCTTTTTCATTTTTGCTGAACCTGTACCTACTGATAATTTAAGCAGTTTCCAGAGACACACGGAAAGCACAAGCTCTGGAGTGAAACTGCAATAATATGAAGCCCCCAAAAGAGACCCTTTTGAAAGATTGCAAATGAAACTGCAAAAAGTGAAATAATTCCTTGAAGAATCTTTTATTCATTTTAAACTAATAAGTCAGATTTATAATTAAGGCACTTGGCAGATTTCATTATAACAGCTCAGATACTAATTCAGTTCAGATATCCAAAGCTGCAGGGCAGAGAGCAAGGGGCAAGGAACTAACAAAAGATATGACTTCACACTTGGAAGAGAGTGATATGTGATATGGCAAACTGCAAAAAAATCACTCAGGACAAAAAGATAATGCCCAAATGGAAAAATGATAAAATAAACCCACCCCACCCCACCCCCCCCAACTATACTTAATTTGGCTACAGAAGAGAATAAAGAAGAATACAAAGTAAAAAACTTAGAACTCTCACAAAGGAAATAATGCTAGAAACAGCATAAGACAAGAAGCGTAGGGGATGTAGAGCCACACATAGTCTTTGCAAAACAATGTACAACTGAAGGTGACACAGCCAAGAGCTGCCAACTCAGAATAAGGAGAAAAAATACCACATCTAGCAAGCAAACAGCAGTGCATAAAAAAAAAAAACAGCAGACACAGCACTGCATACATGCTTAGAGGTGATGCAGGCAAGATCCAATCTGGAAACAGATACTTAGAAATTAAAGAAAGCCTTGTGAATTTAGAGCTTAATTTAGACAATCTCAAGCAAATGCTATTTCTGGAAAATGTTTTAAAAACATAACTAGGATAAAAGCACTGATACAGAAGACAACTAAAATTGAGAGATTAAAGAATTAACGTTAAGTATTCTGGCTCCAAACTAAGGTGACTAAAACAGAACTAAGAAAGCTTTTTGTTTGGGTTTTGGTTGTTTGCTTTGGGTGGTTTTGGGGGGGTGGGGGTTTACTGTCGTGATAAACAGAGATAATACAATCTTTTAATAGTCCTAAAACTTTAAATCTTGTTTAGTAAATACCAGTGCAGAAAAAATATAAAAGTAAAAACTGTATTAATATATGAAGATTCTAGTGACCCTTTATTTTAAAATAGTTTTTCTCAGAAGTAGCCTTATGCTACTACTTCCAGCTCTAGAAGAGAAGGGTAAATGGGGATGAAATGTGTGAAGATCAGTTGAAAGGTATGAGAAGCTCCAGAAAAAAGAATCTCTTTTTTTTTTTCCAGGAGAGCAATGATTTTCAACTAATGTACAGAATTCAAGTAAGACAAGGAACTGCAACTTGCTCTTCCACTGTTCATCTCATTAATCCTAGGCTGGGGTTAGCCTGAGGCATGCCCTTGCTCTGGGAAATTGAGAGCACAGAAAGGCCTGAGCAATGTGTTACAGCAGCTACACCAGGCAGATCAGGCTCACAGGCTAGCACTAAGACCAGTCAGGATACAAAGAACAAGGTTGTCAGGAAAGGAAAATGCTTTAGGAAAGGAACTAGTAGAAACAGCAGGAAGGTTCCTTCTGCACTTCAAGTGACAGGGACATAATTATTTATCTGCCCACAGAAACAAAATGCTAGCAAGGAAAAAGGAGACAACTGGAATCCCCTGCTGAAAACTGAGATAAGTGATTAGGAGAAGGAAAAAAGGATGGATTGGCTGGACAGGATCACAGGGAGGTGGATTTCCTAGATTACAAGATATAAAGGTTATTGTGGGGAAGACGAAAAACAGTAGATTGGTTTCCAGAGTAAAATGTCCACAAATAAGGTAGGAGAGCTAGTACAAATTCTCTGAACTTCTGATGGGCGTTTCAAGAAAGCCTAGTGAGTGGACCCCACAGGGAAGTGAGAGAGTATCTAATTTGTTGATCTTAAGTAGGTTTAATTATGTACAATGAGCTTTTCAGCACACAAGCTACAGGCTAAAGGAAGTTTTGGCCATGCTGCCAAAC